TTTAAGTTGTATATTTTTAATTTTATATTAAAAAATAATAATTTTTAATAAATATATTATACAATATATTAAATTCAAGTATATACTAATTAATATCTAAACAAATTGAGGAAGCAAAAGAGACTATAGCTAAAGTTGATTGTAAAGGGGAATTACAGTAGCTAAGTGAGGAGGAAGGCCTTCTCAAGAGGGATCTAATGCTAACTCTATGGGAAAATATTCAAACAAAAGAAGAAATGGAAAGACAAAAATCAAGGATGATGTGGATGAAAGAAGGAGATGCAAATACAAGCTTCTTCCACTAGTGCATCAAAAGTAGATGGAGAAGGAACGAAATTAACTCCCTATTGGTCAACGAGAAGGTTATGCAAGAAGTCAATGAGCTGAAACAAGGAGTGGCTGACTACTTCAGGAATCTATTTGCAAAGGAAGACTGGAAAAGGCCAATTTTGGAGGGCATGGAATTTAACAAAATTTTTGAAGCAGAAAAGGAGCTTTTAACTAAACCGTTTCTTGAATCAGAGGTCAAAGCAGCTGTATGGAACTGTGACAGTGCAAAAGCCCCGGGTCCGGATGGTCTGAGCTTTGGGTTTTTGAAAGCAAAATGGGAAGTGGTTAAAGATGATATATTGAAGTTTCTAACGGACTTCCATATCAACAATAAGCTGGTAAGGGGTTCCAATTCATCTTTTCCGGTATTGATACCTAAAAAGGAGAACCCACAAGGACTAGAAGAGTATAGGCCTATTTCCCTAATAGGTTGCATGTACAAAATCCTTGCTAAAATCCTTACTAAAATCCTTGCCAACAGATTGAGTAAAGTGTTGGATGGGCTCATAGGTGAACAACAATCAACATTCATTGGAGGGAGGCAACTGGTTGATGGAGTAGTCATCGCAAATGAGACGATAGATGAAATTAGAAGGAAAAAATTGAGTTGTTTCCTCTTCAGGGCCGACTTTGAGAAGGCGTACGACAATGTCAGCTGGGAATTCTTGGATTATATGTTGGAAAGGATGAATTTTGGCTTGGTATGGAGAGGGTGGATTCGAGAATGTCTGCAAACAAACTCAGTATCTGTTGTGCTCTATGGTAGCCCAACAAAAGAGTTTACTATGTGTAGGGGATTAAGACAAGGGGATCCCTTAGCTCCTTTCCTGTTCCTTATTGTTGCGGAAGGGCTTAATGGTATCAGTAGTTGCGAAAGCACTTTTCGAAGGGGTCCCAATTGGAAGAGGGGATATAAGAATTTTCCATTTGCAGTTTGCGGATGACACCTTATTAATGGGGAAAGCAACAGAGGAAAATATCTAGACCACAAAATGTATTATGAGGGCTTTCGAATTAGTCTCCGGGTTGAAAATAAACTATGGGAAAAGCTCCTTGATTGGAATCAATGTTGATGATCTATGGGAAAAGGAAATGACATGTCTATTGAATTGCAAATCAAGATCTCTGCCTTGTAAGTATATGGGTATTCCTTTGGGAGCAGACCCTAGAAGAATAGCTACATGGAAGCGACTTATCGACACTTTCAAAAGAAAAATTGTCTTCATGGAGAGGGTGTTTCCTATCTCTTGGAGGAAGAATAACTCTCATTAATGCTGTGCTGACCAACCTACCGGTGTTCATAATGTCCTTCTATCTCCTTCCAAAGAGCGTCATAGGTGAGTTAGACAAAATTAGGAGAAGATTTTTATGGGGCGGAGTCGGGGAGAGGAAAAAAGTCGCGTGGGTAGCATGGGAGAAGATATGTAGAAATAAGGTCGAAGAGGGTTTGGGTATTAAAAATCTGTCATGTTTTAATATGTCATTACTAGGAAAATGATGGGGAAGATTGCTCACGGAGAAAGGGGGTTTGTGGAGAAGAGTCTTATTCAAAAAATATGGGAATAAAGAAGGGAATTGGCTATCCTATCTAAAGGAGGGTAGATCTCGAGGTTCAAGTTGCTGGAGGGATGTTTGCAAAATAGATGAAAGGGTGGGGATTAAGAATAATTGGTTGAGCTCAGTATTTGAAGTGAAAATAGGGGATGGCAGAAACACGAAATTCTGGTTGGATGAATGGGTAGGAGGGAGTGCACTATCTAACAAATTTCCACGCTTGTTTATGTTATCCACAAGTGAAAATTACAATGTGAAAGACATGGGAACTTGGATGAATGGAAGCTGGCAATGGAAATTATTATGGAAGCGTCAATTGCGTTCGTGGGAGGAAGACATGGAAACAGAACTTTTGGAGATGCTCAAGACAGCTCACCCAATACAAAACAAAGAAGACCAATGGTGGTGGCAACCAGAACCCTCAGGAAACTACACATCTAAGTCAGCTTACTCTCATCTCCTAAAGGGCGACACCAGGCCTATAGCTGACTTCACAAGGATGTGGAAGGCCTCCATTCCACCTAAAGTAAGTGCTTTTTGTTGGCAATTACTTCACAAGAAACTCCCTACAAAAGATAATTTAGCAACTCGTGGAATCTTAACTGATCACAACAATCTAAGATGTTACTAGTGTAATACATCAACTGAAACACCCGACCACTTGCTTGTTAATTGTAACCTGGCTTCCAGCTTATGGATGAATTGCTACAAGTGGTGGGGCAAGCAATATGTATTAGGTAATTCATGTATGATGGTTTTGGAACAACACAAGTGGAATGGGGGCCCAAAATCACTAGATGAAGGGTGGAACATCATCTGGTTTGCAGTAGTATGGACACTTTGGTTGAGTAAGAATGACAGGATTTTCAATGCCAAGGAAGCAAAGGCAGATAATTTTTTTGAGCTAGTTCAAACTCGATCTTTTTACTAGGCAAAAAACATTGCAGGTTTGGATGGGTTCTCTTTAACAAATTGGTGCGAGAATCCAATCAAATGTTTAAAGATCAAAGTCAAAGAGAAAGATAGAGTATGAACTGGACTTTTCTGGGACTTTATGTTTGTGCTGCCCTTTTACAGAAGCCGGTGAAAAAGTAAATCTTTGTAATCTGCTGATTTTGTAAGTAAAGGGTTGGAATACCCCCTGTATTCCATAATTAATAAATGCTTTTGCCCTTCAAAAAAAAAACTAATTAATATCTAATAAAATTTCTTTATTTACTAATTAAAAAATAAACTTTCATCCCTAAGAAAATTATTGTTTATATTATTTTAGCTTCAAGATGCTGCATGTACTCTCTTTCTCTCTCTTTTCCTTTTTTTTTTTTTAAGTGAAACACATACTTGTCAGTTTTAAATTTGCTTTTCATTTCGTAGTGCAATCTAAACTTTTAACTGTGAAGATGATTTGAAATTGATAAAGAATCTAACAAAAATTGCTTTCAATCTCAATCCATTGATGAACTAAACCTTTGGGTTCAACAATTCGTTTTCAAATTTTAGTATTTATATTTAATTAATCAAGAATTCAATTTCTACTAACGATTTGAAAAAAAAAAAACCCTATCCTCTACATTCCCATGTTCAAAAAGAAAAAATCTCAATTTCATTGATAATGGATATATTGTTGCTATCTTCCTTTAATAATTAACCAATCAATCCTCTTGATTATGCTTAGAATAAAAACAACTACAAATACAAAAACAAATATTACCAATTTCCTAACTTTTATCACTCAAAAATTAGTTATTTACATTATTTTTACCTATTTGAGATGCAGCTTATTATTTTATTTTTTATTTTGTTGTTTTCAGATAGGACACACAATTACTTGCTTTTAAATCAATCTTTAATCTCAATAAACCAATATCCAAACTCTCCACAGGGCAATTTGCAATTGCTAAACAATCCAAAATAAATTATTTTCGATCCAAATCCTATCTACAATAATGCATATACTTTTTTACTATCTTACTTTATTAATCAATTCAATCAAACTATTCTCTTTTTCGTACTTGTAAAACAACAAAAACAAATAGACAAATATCTAAACTTTCATCATTAAAAAATTTGTTGTTTACAATACTTTTAACCTCGAAATGCGACACGAATTGTCCCATAAATAATGCTAGAGGGACCAACAACTCCCCAAGTAGACGGAAAACCAAACCGATATGGCATCTCCCCGTCCGTCTGTTCACCTCTTTCATTTATGATTAAATTTATAGATTAGTATCTAAACTTCACATTTTAAAATTATTTTGATCCTTTAAATTTAAAAGTTATTTTTTAGTCCCAAACTTTATTTAGAATTCAATATAGGGTTTAATATTTAAGGTTTATGGTTTAATATTCTTAAAATTTAAAGGTTAGCAATTA